GATGCGGTAACAAAATACTGGTGTTGTTTATTCATAAAGTATACCAGATCGTTAGTGAGAACATAAGGTTGCTGACATTGCTTATTTCAACATTTCACTGAATGCATAAAATATGCCTAGGATGTGCCACTTTTCCCTCTAATATCTCTCATTGAAAAGCAGAAGTCGCTAGGGAAATCAGTATATCAGATTACAGCAGAAAATGACCTATCCCAGTTCAGCCTCCAAGTTGGTGCTTTTGCCCAATATCACTGAGCTACCTTGTGTAAAGTAAAGATGCAGGTGTTCAGTCCCAGAGCCCAGTCCTCTAGTCCTTCGGCAACGACATATATCCAATGCCCACGGAAGATGGAGCCAAACCAAACAAGGTACGGGGTATGCTTGATTGAGACAGAGGAAATTGTTTCCTTAGGAAACGCCTGGCACAGTGTATCTAAAATTTCACTAATTCTGCTAATTGGAAATGAAGAGAGCACCAGAACTCAGTGTCTCCCAAGCTCACTTGTCATTTTGCCTTGCCTTAGTTACAAAATGTGAATGGACAGACATGTCAATCTAAAATTCCCTCTGGAGTCTCAAATGTCTTGGCCTATATCTTGCTTGCCTATTTTTCAAGACCTTAAATAGATTTTTTTTTAGGAAAGACATCCTTGCACAGATGTAAAAAGCACACTGGCATGTCCTCATTCATTTTCTAAAAGTGTTCTGCAGCTTTTTGCCTGGTGCGTGCCAGGTGATTCTGAAAGTTCTGGCAATGATGACAAGCCTCTCTTCCTCCACACTTTCCACGCTCTTCATTTGAGCACGCACGCATCACAGTTGATTCTAACTCTTGGCTTCCTCACTGGATTACTACAAGGCTGGCTTAGTTTCTCTTTCTCCTCTGAATCTTCTTGGAACTTTTCAGTCTTCACTGTATCACCAAATTCAGCACTTAGTTTAATCAGATCAGATGCCTCTGGATATTTGTACTTGGGTGTGGGTCTATAAAGTTTAAGTTTCTCCAATAGGCATCTATGTTTCTAAAGGGCATGCTCATGCCATTGTTGTGTAGCTATAGCTACCATATACCTGACCTCTATCATACACACAGAAAGAAACAGTAAAGTGTTGGTTGAAAATAGAAGTCACAGCTTAAACCTTTAAAGTATTTCCCTGTACATAGCTTTTGACCTTTTTTGCTTGTCCTAGACATATACTAGTTGTTGTAGATAAGGGAAACTATGGGACCTATGTTTCTTTGGGCCTGGCTTATTTCACTTAATATAATTTTTTCCAAGTCTTTCCATTTCCTAACCAATGGAGCAGTGCAGAAAAGGTCAAAAGCTATGCACATATGACCATATAAGATGATGCTAAGTGAAATGACCTGCAAGATAGGGACACAAGAGGTTTTTATCTTTCTTGCTGTTGTTTTTAATGTACTTCTAATATACCATGTGATCTTTTTGTTTCTCTTGTATGTTCTTCTCCCATGGTATAACCCCTGTTTTCATTGTATTTGATTCCAGTGCCCTGCATCTTGCGTATACATTTTTCTAATTTGGGGAGGGAAAGGGAAATAACAAAAAGCTGAAATAAGGATACAGGTTGACTCGTAATGTACAAGACACTATGTTGAAAACTTTACAATTTTTGGGGGGGATGGAGGAGTTAGGGAGGTGGGGAGGGAAGGGATGGTAGGGGAAAAACAAAGGAGGGGGTAACAATGCTCCATAGGAAATGTACTCATTACCTTGCTCATGTAACTGTAACCCCTCTGTATAGTATCTTTAGAATGAAAAATATATTCAAAAAAGCATTTCCCTGTAATACTTAAGAGGCTATATATATATATCCTCTTAATGTATATGTTGTATATACTAAAATATCTCTATATATTTCAGAGTTAATATGCTACATATTATAACATCTGTAGCCATTACTCTGTGATATTCACGGGATACCATGAGGTCATCTATAACTCTTCTTTCCCCTGTAGTGACAGCCAAGCATGTTTGAAGATATTGTCATGTATACCCTTGTGAAGGAGCATAAATCATACTTGAATAAAAACTGCTGAAATATGTGAAAAAAACAGCAATAAAACCTGTTGAAATTATTTTAAGAAGGAAGCAAAGGGAGTAAGGGAGAGAAAGGGAGAGGGGAATTTGATTGGGGCATATTGTAAAATACCTATGGAAATGTCCCAAAGAAAACTCCCTTGTAAAACTAACAGTATGCTAACAAGAAACCTTTGAAGAAATCTCTGAATCTATGATACAATCACAATAGAGGCACTATGAGAAGACCATATGGTGTAATTCCTTTCTGATTTCTTTAATTTAGAGACATGGGATACAAAAAGTATTGGAATCACAGGGTACAAGTTTATTCTCCTCCTCTTGAGCCTATGGAGTCTATGTGCTGGATAAGTTACCTTGAGCAATAGAGGAAGGCTGGGTCATATGGGTCTGTCAACACACTATGTAAAAATCTGAGCAGTCTCACGAATCTTTATAAAGGGATGCATGTGAAATACTTCATTTCAGATCTTGAGTACAGCAGCAAGTTTCCAAAAAAGAGAAGTGTTTTCTGAAAATCACTTCCGCCTCGTCTAAGTCTGGGAGAACTAACTTAGACTCAACTTCATTGAAGTTTTAATGTGGAGCCAGAAGAAAAGAGAAACAAGTGAGTCTAGTAGGAGGCAATTGAGAATGCGGGGCCTGGGTGGTTACTGAAATCCTGGGCTGCAGCACAGCACGGAGTCACCACCTCTCAGCTGTCAGCTCCTTGGCTTGCTGCTCTCTTCATGTCACAAGCTCCTGGGAGGAAAGGAGGAAGTCTGGCTCTCTACCTCCGAGGTTCATAGATGCCAGTGAGGAGATGAAAAGGAGTAAACACTTCATGAAATGGTAACAATTCTAAAGATGGCAATTTATCACACAATTGAAAAGGGACACAGGAGACTCTGAGGTGCGTTTTTGGGTAGCAATTTACGGCTGTGTCTAAAATTTCATTTTGTCTCCTTTACACATATCTATACAAAAGAGGGACAAGGAGAACTTGGCAAGGGATGAAGAGGGGGAGGAGCAATGGAAACCCTGTTCTGGTTATTATTAATGGGCTGGACTCATTCCATGAATCTTATTCTGCTCTTGGCATGAGCAATTGATCATCTCAGACTTTACAATGAACTTAAAAATTAAAGCAAAGTTTAGACAAGCAGAGTGCTGAATATGTATCCTCTGGGTCAACATCTAGGCTCAAGGGCAAGTCCAGAGCTGAGAATGGAACACACAGAAGAAAAAGTTTAGGACCCTCCCAGAATGAATTTTATCTTCCCAGTGCAGTGGACAGGGGTAGGCTGTGTACACAGAAATCAAATCAAATCACTCTGAATAGAATCCACTCAAGGCCATGATCACTAGAGAGAAACAAGGGTATTCCTCAATTTTACAACCTTAAGGGAGGAGAACTGACATTAATTGATGATCTCTCATACTAGAGGCATTTTTTACATTGAATATATGCCTGCATACATGCACATATCTATTCATCCATTGTTCTTATGTTCAATGAAAAATATGCTGAGTGCCTACCAAGTATCAGACGTGAATCAAAGTATCCCTCGAATCAAGTTTGAAGTCTTTTAGGAGAGGTAAGTGTGAAAAGAGAATTAATAGAGTAGAATTAATAGAGGGTAATAACGAGTTCCACTTACCATGGAAATACCTAACAGAAGCAAGCAGACCCCAGATCAGATAGTCTGGTTCAAATAAAAATCTAACCTTGGCTTTTTCAAAAGAGTTTGAGCCAGACAGACCAAGCAGAAGCAGAGTGAAAGACAGGAGTGAAGCGTTCTACTCAGCAGAGATATCAGCATGTACGAGGCGTGACAGGGTCGACTTCATTTTGGAAGACAGAAGCAACTGAACCTGGCTAGAACAACTTGTAGGAGGTATGATTGTGTTAATATGATCAGGTACTAGAAAGCCAGACATTATGGCAAGAAGTACATCATCGTAAGGAAAGGGGATTTCTCCTAACATCAGTGAGCTCCTTTGGAGGTTTCAGATCATTCACGGATGGCCCAATCATCTATGGACTAGAAATAGTATCCTGATTACACTGTGATTACAAGTAAAAGGTAAAATTGGACTCTAACAAACAAGACAATGGTAGTAAATAAATGATGGTAGAAAGGAGGGTGGAGCTAGTAGTAACTAAATCTGTTAAAGGAGATGTCAAGATGACTCACAGAAAGGCATATGTTAATTCCCACTTTATGGAGGAGACTCAGCAAGACAGAGTAACTTGTTGAAAGCTACAAAAAATAAACTGGCAGAAATACTATAAAACCTGTGATTTCTCCTTCCAAATTCTATTTCGTGTTCACCAAATGAAGCATGATTTTCCCTCTGTGGAGTTCATCTAATGTGTTCAAATCTAGGGCTCAAAAGTGAATAAATCTGCTTCGAAGCCACAAGCTACTGTCAATCAAATAGACTGTTGGAGACTTCACACACTCAGGACCTGCCTCTTGCTTTAATCCAAGCAGTAGATTGTGAGATCACTCTATTATAATCTAGTAATTCAAACAGTCAAGAAAAAAATTCAGATAATGACTTTACAATTTTCCCTCCCTGATTTTTTTTCATCCCCTCTCCTCAGCAATCCTTTGTTCTGCTTGCTGCCAGCCACATTTAAATACTCCTCTACAGCCTGTAATGTCATTCCCTCTGAGTTGTCACTTAGCCAAGCTATATATATTTAGCTGCTTTAATCTTTCTTCGCAAGTCATTCCTTCAATTCCCTGAGCCTATGTGTAAGCTTCTGCCTGGCCTACCTCCAGTTTGTCTGCACCCCGAAAAATTCTGTGGAAGCTGAAGATATGGTGCTCTTATTAATAATTCTACTTATACATCATGTATCTTTATCACTTTCAAACCCCTTTTATTACTTAGAATTTTTGCATGAAAACAACATCAGAACTCTTGAAGGAGACTGCCTGTTCTAACAGTTGTTTTCTCCAAGATGGTTTATATGCCACCCAACTTTTCTATCCCAAAGCACAATAGTGTCAAAGAAGGAATGGTAAGCATGATTAACATACTACTACGCAGTAATGATCTCTTTCTTGAATTAGTTGGGTAGTGAGATAATTTTTCTTGCTTTTTTTTTAATACTGCAGGAGGATGTAGGAAGAATAAAAATTATCTGCAAGATGTTTCTAAATAGGAAACATTTATGACATTCTTATAGAGCTTATTTGCAGCTCTTTAAAAATAATTGACTATCTAATTAGAGAGATAGATCACATTGGTATAGAACATGCAAAGAGGTAAATGCTGCTTTTTATAACCTCTACCATCATAGTTGTAGAAGCATACAAGAGTAAAACTCACTCAATATTTTAACTCTTAGATTTTCTTTGTCTATATATATTTTTTTCCATAATGGGGTCTCAAATATGTTCCTTCTTTTCCACTTTATTCATTTTCATGCTGTCAAAAAGCTTCCTACTTTTATCTTTCATTTAGATTAATTCTGCTATTTGATTCTCTAAAACAGCAATTGCCTGTAGAACCCATACAAAGTGAATACAATTTTTCTAGTTTTTTGCCTGAAATACTGATAATATTGAGAGTGTAAGGGTTTAAATTTTCTTTCTTTGTTTTCTCTTTCTCTTTCTTTCGTGTGTGTGTGTGTGTGTATTGTATATGTCTGTCTGTGCCTATGCCCATGTCTGTATATGTGAGTACTGGGGCTTGAATTCAGGGCCTAGGCACTGTCCCATAGTTCTACTTCTAGCTCTTTGCTGGTTATTTGGAGATAAAAGTCTTATGAACTTTCTTTCCTGGGCTGGCTTTGAAATGAGATAAGCCATCAGTGGCACTCAGTTTTAATTTCCTTTTTTAAGAAAACTTACATATAACTATGGCTTATTCATGTCTGTTTGAAATATCTCAAATACTAAAGGAGACTTGGACCCTCTTTGATGGCTCATTATGGACTTGCATAGCACATACATATGTTCTCCATAGTTGCTAGTATTAAACTACAAGATGGACCAGTGATGAGTTTGCAATGTGGCTCATGGTTTCAAAATCCCTGCTGCTGCCTACCTTATCTGAAAAAAAGAAATAGTAAGAGATGCTATTATACAATGTGTATAGTTATCCTTACGATAAATAATCCCCTTGTGGAGGTACTTAAACAGGAAACTAGCAGAGCTAAGCCTGGCAGAATAAGATAGGGTGGCAGAAAGGTTGGTCACTCACCAAGGAGCTGGTACATACACTGAATCTTCAGAGATTATTCCTTTTCTTGAACAATACAGTAAAAGGACAGTAACAATAGTGGCAACCACTAACATTCACTGAAGACTCACTATGCACCTGCTAGCATTGTAAGTACTTAAAATATATACACTTATTTCCTTTTAATTTTTTTCTTGACAATATGTTTTGCACTTTTGCAAGTAAAATCAGTGAGAATATAAAATTCAGGAAATTGAACACAAAAGGAAGAAAGGTACATCTTCTGATAGAGACTGTGGGTAGCTTTCAGGAAGAATAAGAACGGGTTCATAGAAAGGTTTTTAAAATAGGAAAATCTTTCGTGTATTTATAGGCTGAAGAAATGATATTAATGGCAGGTGAAAATGACGGGATTACATAATATCCAGATGCCTGAGAAGAAGTGAAGGAGAAGAAATAACACAACATTTCAAAAGGATGGATGCTTCCCCGTCTGGTGAGTACTGATGTAACACAGGAGCTAGAGGGGTTTGAAGAAAGTCAGGATTTGTGAACATTTCCTTCTGAACGAAAAGATACATTTTGAGAACCAGCCTTACAGAAGTGGAAGGCAAGTCTCTAAGTTGGGCAGCTGGAATAGATCTCATCAAGAGTTAGAGTCAGGTGGGGACAGATCCAAGGATCAGGTTGAAGCCAGTATCACAGTTAGGCAAAGGGAAGAAGCCGTTTGAAGCAAACATGATAGAAGAAAGTAATCCAGGGTAACATGGAGAGGCAATTTACAGACAAGTAGTAAATTTGTAGAAGGAGGATTTAAGGATTTAAATTAGAACTTATGTTCAACAAATAAAATATTGCGGTTTAAGAGTCCAGGCAATGGCAAAACACACGGTGAGATCATTAAGCAGGGGGTTACCTAGCTTGGCACTTACTTGCTTTTCTAGTTCAAGACACTATTATCTTGCATTTGAACCGAAGCCATAGCCTAGTAACAGATCTCTCTTGACTTGTCTCTTGCTCCTTTACAATCCTTTTTTTACCCAGACAAGAGAGATCTTTATAGAGTACAAATCGTATCATGACACTCCAGGACTTGGTACATTCCAGTGGTCTACCATGATACTTGAATAAAATGCAAACTGGTTTCAAAGACTAATAATGTCCATCTGGTGCATCCCTTGTTCACATCTCAGGCCTCATCTTTTACCTGATTTCTTCTGGCTGCAATGATGCTCCTCATATTTCTCATACCACAACCCATTCTGTTCTAAAGGCCTTTGTAAATACTCTTTACTCAGACTTTATTAACATAGTGTGTGCCATTCAGATCTCAGCTTAAATCATTTTTCCGTAGAAAAATAATTTTCCTTAAAGTACTTACTCACCCACTGCTCTTTCTCTGTTACATCCTCCCTTTCCCTTTTTATTTTCTCCTTCCTCCTTTCCATCCTGCTTCTTTCCTTCCTTTTCCTCCTGCCTTCCTTTCTTTCCTCCCTTCCTTTCCTTCCTCCCTTCCCTCCCTCCCTCCCTCTCACCCTCTCTCTTCCTTCCTTCCTTCTTTGTTACTTGCTTTTCTTTTTTTTTTTTTTGGTCAGTTGCAGGGCTTGAACTCTGGGCCTGAACACTGTCCCTCAGCTCTTCAGCTCAAGGCTAGTGCTCTATCACTTGTGCCACAGCGCCACTTCCAGTTTTCAGAGTGGTCTATTGGAGATAAGAGTCTCATGAACTTTCCTGCCTGGGCTGGTTTGAACTGCAATCCCCAGATCTCAGCCTCCTGAGTAGCTAGGATTACAGGTGTGAGCCACCGGCACCCAGTTTCTTTCTTGCCTGCCTGCCTGCCTTCCTCCCTCCCTC